TTCCAGAAAACTGAAGAAGAAGGAATACTTCCAAACTCATTTTTTTTTTCTTTTTTTGAGACAGAGTCTCACTCTGTTGCCCAGGCTAGAGTGCCATGGTGTCAGCCTAGCTCACAGCAACCTCAAACTCCTGGGCTCAAGCAATCCTTCTGCCTCAGCCTCCCGAGTAGCTGGGGCTACAGGCATATGCCACCATGCCCGGCTAATTTTTTCTATATATTTTTAGTTGTCCAGCCAATTTCTTTTTTAGTAGAGTCAGGGTCTCCCTCTTGCTGAGGCTGGTCTCGAACTCCTGAGCTCAAGCAATCCTCCCATCACGGCCTCCCAGAGTGTTAGGATTACAGGTGTGAGCCACCACACCCAGCCCCAAACTCATTTTGTGAAGGCAGCATTATCTTGGTTCTAAAACCACACATGAATACAACAAAAACAGAAAACTACAGGTCAACAGCTGAAAGTTTTTCCTCTAAGATCAGGAACAAGACAAGTTCACCACTTTTGCTGTTCCTATTCAACATATTAATAGTACTGGAAGTGTTAGCTAGAGCAATTAGCAAGAGAACGAATTAAAAGGTATCCATACTGGAAAGGAAGAAGTCAAATTGTCCTGGTTTGCAGATTATATGATATTATATATAGAAAACTCTAAAGATACCACCAAAAACCTATTAGAACTAATAAAACTCAGTAAAGTTGCAGGACAAAAAATCAACATACAAAAATCAGTAGCATTTCTATATGCTAACAGCAAACTATCTGAAAAAGAAATCAAGAAAACAATTCCATTTAAAATAGCTACCAAAGACATAAGATACCTACGAATAAACTTAACCAAAGAGGTGAAGGATCTACACAGAAAACTATACACTGATGAAAGAAATTGAAGAGGGCACAAATAATGGAAAGATACATCCTGTGTTCATGGATTGAAAAAATTAATATTGTTAAAACAGCTATACTACCCAAAGTGATCTACAAATTTAATGCAATCCTTATCAAAATACCAGAGACATTTTTCACAGAAGTAGAAAAAACAGTTTAAAATTCATATGGAACCACAAGATTCCAGACAGCCAAAGCAATCCTGAGCAAAAAGAATAAAGCTGGAGGCTTCATGCTACCTGACTTCAAAATATACTACAAAGCTGTGGTAACCAAAACAGCAAGGCCCTGGCATAAAAACAGACACATAGACCAATGGAACAGAATAGAGAGCCCAGAAATAAATTCAGGCACTTACAATCAACTGATTTTCAAGGAATGTACCAAGAATACACATTGGAGAAAAGGTAAGTCTCTTCAACAAATGGTGCTAGGAAAATTAGATATCCACATGCAGAAGAATGAGACTAGACCCCCTTGTTACTGCCTAACCAGGTTCATTTGACCACTGCCTAAGAAGCCAATATGCTAAATCAGCAGGTTTTACGGCAGAGAGTCTTTATTCTGCATAGTGCTAAGCGGGGAGACGGGAGAAATTTCTCAAATCTGCCTCCCTGAGAATTCGGAAGACAGGGTTTTTAAGAGTAGTTTGACAGGCAAGGGATTAGGCAGTTAGGTTTGTTAATTGGGGCAAAATTATAGGGATGTAGAAATCATCTTCTTGTATTGCTCTAGTTTCTGGGGTTGCAATTCCAGTTGAGTCAGTTTCTTGGTATGGGCTGCTGGTCTGAGTGGACCAATCAATCCACTGGAATGTGGGGTCTGGAATAATCTTAAAAACTACCTTTAGGTTTCAAAAAGGTGATGCTAACCACGGAGAAAGTTAAGAATCTTTATGGCCACCAGCTACATGGCTCCGGAGTGGCAATGACAGGGACAGTTACTAACTATTATCATTATTTTTAGCTAGATCTGTGCATTATTTTTAGCTAGGCCCTTACCACAGTTCTTGCCTTGTGCCCCGTTATTGAAGGGTGGTTTCACCCTAACTTCCACTATATACAAAAATCAACTCAAAATGGATTGAAGACTTACATGTAAGACCTGAAACAATGAAACTACTAGAAGAAAACATAGGGGAAGTGCTTTATGACATTGGGCTGGGCAAGGATTTTTAAAATAAGACCTCAAAAACACAGACAACAAAAGCAAATAATAGACAAATGAGATTACCTCAGACTAAAAAACTCTTGCACAGCAAAGGAAACAACTAACAGAGTGAAGACACAACCTACAAAATGGGAAAAAATACTTGCAAACTATACATCTGACAAAGGGTTAATATCCAGAATATATAAGGAACTTAACAGCAAAAAAATAAATAACAATTAAAACATGGGCCAAAAAACCTTAATAGACATTTCTCAAAAGAAGACATACAAACGGCTAACAGGTACATGAAAAAAATGCTCGACATCACTAATCATCAGGGAAATGCAAATCAAAAACTCAATGACATACCACCTCACTCATTCTAACCTCCAGTTAGAATGGCATTATCAAAAAGACAAAAGAAAACAAGTGTTGGCAAGGTTGTGGTGAAACGGGAACACTTACCACACACTGTCGGTGGGATCATAAATTAGTACAGCCATGATGGAAAGCAGTATGGAGGTTCCTCAAAAAATTAAAACTAGAACTACCATATGGTCCAGCACTCCCACTACTGAGTATATTTCCAAAGGAAATGAAATCAGTATGTCTAAGAGATGTCTGCACTTCCATGTTTACTGAGGCATTATTTACAATAGCCAAGATATGCGATCAACCTAAGTGTCAAACAACGAAAGAGTGGGTAAAGTAAATGTGGTATATATACACAACAGAGTAGTATTCAGCCATAAAAAAGAATAAAATCCTGCAACAACATGAATGTATGAACCTGGAGGACATCAAGGTAAGTGAAGTAAGCCAGACACAGAAAGACTACAGAAACACCACATGATCTCACTCAGATGTAGAATCTTCAACCAAAAAAAAAAGAGTTGATATTTAGGATAGTGGTTATTGGAGACCGCGGAAGGGAGCCAGGAGGGTTGGATGAGGAGAGGAGGTTAGTCAATGGGTATAAAGTTACAATTAGATAGGAGGACTAGTTCTGGTGTTCTATTGCATTGGTAGGGTGATGATGGTTAACTGTTACAACCTAGCTGGAAGAAAGGCTTTTGAATGTTCTCACCAAAAAGGAATGTTAAATGCATGAGGTAATGGGTATGCCAAATACCCTGATTTGATCATTATAGAAAATATATATGTACCAAAATATCAAATTGTACCTCATAAATGTATACAATTACAATGTCTCCATTAAAAAAATTTTTTAAAATAAAAATAAAGAGACAAATTCTGGATTTTGGATTTTCGGATTAGGGAAGCTCAACCTGTATTGCCAAGGCCAGTCTTATTTGTCAATAGTCCCACCCACTCCCCTGTCCTTGCCCCAGAGGCTTTTGAAGCAAATGGCAGATATATCATTTCATTTGTAAATATTTAGTATGCATCTCTAAAAGAAGGATTCTTTTTTTAAAAAAAAAACCTATAATGATCGACATCTAAAAAAATTAAGAATTCCTTAATATCAACAAATATCTAATTAATGTTCAAATTTCTGTACGTTCTCTTAAATTATTACTAAAATTCTTTTGGCTTGAATTAAGGTCCAAATAAAGTCCATACATTGCAATTTGTTGCTATTAATATTTCTCTCAAGACTCTTTTGACCTATAGGTTGCCTCTGGCCCCTGTAATTTATCTGTTGAAGAAGAGTTTTCCAATCTGGATTTTGCAGACTGCAGACCTGTGGTGCATTTTACACGTTCTTATGTCTCCTGAATTTCTTATAAATTGGTAGTTAGACCTAGAGGCTTGATCAGACTCAGGTCTAATTTTTCGCTTTTTGCAAGAATGGCATGCGTATTGTTCTAAGCTTCTATCATGTCTGAGTGTTGTTCTTTTTTTGGGTTGTTAGTAGTCTTTTGAGGATCATTGCCTAGGTCCATTAATTTATTAGGAGTTGAAAATTATGATATTCTAGAATTCCTTATTCATTTATTAGCTGGAATATGTCTATAAAGAAAAACTTCTCATTGCAAAGGAAAAAGAAAATAAATGCTTGATTTTTTCCATTTATGGTTCCTTAGCATCAGCTATAGGTAACCAATAAATATTTTCTTTTAGGATCATTATGAACTCATGGATTTTATGTATGTGTTTTAATTAATTTTAATTATTATTCTCACCGATGTTCAAATTATCTCAGTTGACTAGTGGGCTCCTCAGTTTCTTTGATGATTCCAATAGTCTTTGTTAGTAGCTTCACTGCTTTCTGTGATGACAAAATGTTCTGGGCTTATCTTACATATTTCCTGACCTAGATATAAAACCAGCCACTATTCTAAGATGCCCTGGTTCCTTTTAGCAAAAAAAGGTATTAAGCAACCATAATTTGGGCGCTAGAGGTGCTTGCTGCTACCAGGTTGGTCACTGTTTCTAAGCTATGTCAGGGGACCAAGGTAGAAAAAAAAATTTTTTAAAGAAAAAATACATGAAGCTCATTCAGACCGTTCTAATTCTTGAGTATAGGTTTTTATTTAACCACACTGATTTTACCTGTCTCTCCGTTTTCCAATACTGAAACTCCCAGTTTTCAATAATGGCAACATAATTATACATTTATTTTATCATATGCACTTATATATATAAACATTCATACCTGTGTTTATATATAAAGTAAATACTACAAAAATACGCCAAAATGTTAATATCGGTGGGATAAGGGATGATTTCATTTTTTTCTTTTAATCCACTTCTGCATATTCCACATTTGTATAATAAATACTGATAATCATAAAATTAAAAAATAGTAATCTTACTTAAAAATTCCAGTTGGTTCACCAATCTTCAAGCTCCCAAAACTATTCCTTTAGTGGGTACACATAATTCTTTGAAGTCTATTATATAAACCCTAGCCTTAGGATCTCCAAATCCTACCATAGGATACCATTGCTCCCCATACCAAATACCCACAGCTCCCGAAAATAAAAAGTAAAATTACTTACATCTCTCACAGATACTGTTTCTTCTACTATGATCTCCATCTCTGTACCAGGTTGAACATCACTCCCCATTGCGAAAAACAGGAATAGCTAAGATCAAGACATAAGTATGAATGCAATTTAATCTGAATTAAAAAATTCAATAAATGTATTATTTACTTTCAAGAAAGTAAAAGTAAAGCCAAGGGTCCATGAAACTTTAATAAAAATTTCAAAATATGTACAAACAAGACTATGTTGAGTAACTTAATGTTACAGTTTAAACAATAATTTCTCTTTCCTCCAAATGTAAAATGCCTCATTATTGTTTTTTACTAATAAATATTTCACACATATGCTATTTCTTCTATGATCTCCATCTCTGTCTTAATCACTCCCCAAACCAATTTTCAATTAATATACACGATTAAAATTAATTGTGTTTTTTCTCTGAGCCACTTGATTATGATTTTATTTTCTGCCTGGGGATTCCGTATGTTATAATTCCCAAGACCCCAAAGGAAAAATGTAAATCTGGTCTCTTGTCAGTTCAGTTCCTTATAGCCCTACGTTTTCTAACTCAACATCATCTGTCATGTTTTCCCTCCTATCAGCTTCTTGCACTATTATTTGCTAGAGTTCAGGGGAAAGCAAATTAAAAGGGAAGTAGTTGGAAAACTAATTAAGTGAATCCACAAATCATGGGAAACCTGATATGAGTACAGATTACTCTGATACAGGGTATTAACAATAAGAGTATCATTATGACTTCTGGACTGAAATAAGTTGATTAACTAGGCAGGGCTTCTGGCAAGGTAACCTGACGATATCGAAAATGAACACTGATAAAGTCAAAGGGAAAGAGAGGCTGCAGTGAGACTATTATTGCAGAGTCATTAAGTCCAAAATCAATATACTGTATTTCATTAAATCTAAAATGTTAATGTTAGATTCATTATTTTCTGTACCACTCAAAAAAGAAAAAAAAAAAACCAGTGTAGCTATAACTGCAGAATGCCATGACTGTAAGATGCAACCTAATCTCACAGATATTAAAATGTGAAGCAAAGAAGGTACATCTCAGAATTTATGAAATATAGTGGTTGAAAGTGGTGGCACCCAACCTTAAAGATCCCTCTTAACAAAATTTTCACAGAAAAATAACCTTATAAATATGGTTTGGCAGAATATTTTATATTTAAACACAGAGAACTATAAAGATGTATTCCTAAAATAAAATGTATCATTAAACGAAAAAAATTTTTAGAGAAAAATACTATTACTGGAGTGGTTAGGGTACTAATTATAATATGAAGATGTTCTGGTTATGGAAAGTTAATTTTATTCTGACAGGTAAACTTATTTTACCTGAGAGGAAGTTGGTGCTTTTCCAAGACACAGGCCCAATGAACTCCCCATCTTCAATTCTGCTTCCTTCAAAGTATAACAGTCTGGTACTATAAAGAATTTTGATAACATGATGAACGCTGTTAATTCTTACCTCTCTAAGCAAAATAATAAGCTAAAATCAGTCATTCTTTGAAAATAGAGAATATCAAGAAAGCACTATGGTTATGCTTGATTTTCTATTTCTATACTCTCATATTTATTCTTGTTCTCTGTATAATGCTAAGAAGCAGCTATGAAAATTCTAGTTTCCTACTCAATAAAAACGACTTCTTCAAAGAGCTGCTGTTAATATGGACTAAAAGGCAGACATTCCGAATCGACCCGTGAATGGTGGACTAGCTTCTTCCAAGTTGAGATTGTGATTACCATCAGTAATTAGGCTTGTACATAACTAAATGAAGTCTAATGATAAGAGGTGTTACAGAGGTGAGAATCAAAGACTTTATTCCATAACTGGTATCACAATAAAATTAGCAAAACAAACAGAAAAGCTTTGAAAATAAAGCTAGAAAAATATAACAAGATCAAAACCATAAGATGAGGAACAGATAATCAGAAAGATAGGTGTTTATTTAGAAAACCAAAGTGTTTGTGTCTGGTTAAGGTTTTCTGTAACACATGAGTAAGATACCTAGATGGAAATATGCCTATAAATCAGTTTCTTAAAAGTTATTTCAAGAATGTTAGGTGTTGGAAGCCATTGTTTAAAGTAGAAGTCTGAAGGAAGACAGATGGGTATGAGTGTAGCCAGCTTCTGAAAGCTCCCAGAAAGACTTACCTGGGCAAAGCAGCTTCCCGTTTCTATCAATAGGTCTCAAACAGCTGTTCTCAGCTATGAATAAAAGGAAGCTGGTCAGGGCACCAAAGAAAATGAAAGAGAGCTACTCTATTGTGTTAATTAGCAGAAAGCTACAGTAAGCTGAAAAAAACAAAAACAAAACCAAAACCAAAAAACCCCCAACAACCAAAAAACCCAAAAACCAAGCACAGGCACTCTTTGCTTTGCACAGCAGTGCAAGACTGTAAAAATACAGGCTGAAACTGCAAAGCAATCTTAATCAATGGAAAAAATTACAGTTGTTCCATGAGTTTTAAAAATTTTTGTCAAAACATTTAAAACTGTTATACATGTATTCGGAAAAGAAAAAAATAGTAAAGCTGATATTTACATTGTAATTTAAAACACTAGAAACTTTGAGAATTAAAATGCTTTCTTTGTAAAACACACATGAGGAGTGGTTTAAACAGGGCTTGCCTTCTCATTGTATAGCTTTCCTATCCCCTGGCAAGCTATCATACTCCTTTCTAAGTTTGGATCGGCTTCCATTAATTTAAATTTTGTGCGTTCAATGTCATGAAGTATCTTTGAGAGCTCCTTTAATGTAAAGTTTCTACCGGCATCACTTCTGCTGGGATGTCTTCATCCTTTTCATCACCACTTTCCTCACTTACGTTGGTAAGTATAATTCCATTCATTGTTTCTCTGTGCACTTTCTTCTTGGGTGGTCAATTCCCTGTTTCAATTATCCATTCTGGTAAAATGGCACGTGGGTTCATCGCTTGGAGAAAAGGAGGCAACACAACTACACGCTTTGCTGTCTGTGCAGTGAGCTGCATATGCAGTGACCAACCACCAGCAGACTTGAAAGAAGTGAAGTGCCTGGTCGCTGCTCACGGTGCACATCTGTTATCTATGCGGTCATCTGTGCACTGCAGCTAGCAGCCAAGTGTGTAGTTTATTCAGTTACTCACAGTTAGCATACCATGGTTGCTGAAATTTGAACCATGTTGCTGGGGGACTGATGTTATATAATCAAACAGTGGTAACTAAACCTTGTGCATATCAGAATGCCTGTGTTTAAAGTATGTTGGGTGATCTTATGCTTATTAAATGGATTAGGGCCAGCATGCACTATTTTTGAGTATGTAGATTCCTGCTTTGTGGGAAGGAGCACACCAGGTTTTCAGTCTAAACAGAATTCTTACAAAGAAGGACATAAATTACAGGGTAGAGGGGGAAGGAGGGTTGAGCTTTCTGAACTGGCAAGAATGTCATGGGTCTTAGAAATTCTAATTTTATTAGATCATAGAAGAATCTCTTTCTGTGATTTCTGAGTTCAATATCTTATACTACGGTAATATGAAGCTAGCATATAATTCTAATATAAATTTCTTGTCAACTGGAAGAGTTTATGAAAAGAGTTCCCCAATTTAAAAGGTGGTTTTTAAACACTGTCTCCTTAATTTTTCACCTTCATTCAACAGGCATTTACTGTGTATCTTCCATGCCAGGCACTGTCTGGAGACTGGCAATACAGCAGTAAGCAAAGCAGTATGGACTTGGCCCTCACAGAACCTTGTCTCATGGGGAGGCAGATGTTAATGACACAAATAAAAAGGCAGTTACAGTGCTAAGTGCTATGAAGGAAAAGTACAGGGTGTAAAGAGACTACGACATAGAGATTAACTGGGATTGTGTGGTCATGGGTGAAAGGAGAAGTGACATTTCAGCTGAGACCAAATGAACTGAAGTTAACAGATAAAGAGTGAAGAGAGGTTGGGTACGGTGGCTCACACCTGTAATCCTAGCACTTTGGGAGGCCAAGGCAGAAGGATTGCTTGAAGCCAGGAGTTTGAGACCAGCCTGGGCAACATAGCAAGACTCCATTTCTCCAAAAATTAAAAAAATTAGCCAGGCATGGTGGTACACACCTGTAGTCCCAGCTTTGTAGGAGGCTGAGGCAGGAGGATCGCTTGAGCCCAGGAGTTTGAGGTTGCAGTAAGCTATGATGATGCCACTGTACTCTAGTCTGGGCAAGAGTGGAATCCTGTCTCAAAAAAAAAAAGTGAAAGGAGAGAGTTCACAGCACTAAGAAGTCTCAGAGCTTGTGCACTGAGAAACTCACAGAGGTTAGCATGGAAAGTGTGTTGTGAACAAGCAGAAAAGCGGATTGCAATGAGGTTACAGGTATAGAGGGGTCAGATTATGCAGGTTCTAGTAGGCTAGTTTAAGGAATCAGCCTAAATGCAATGGAAAAGCACTAAATGGCTTTGAGCAGAGGAGTGACAGGACCACATGCACTGAAGATCACTTGCTATGTGAAGAATGGTTTGGAGGAGAGCAAGAGTGGCAGAAAGGAGACCAGCTACAGGGGAAGACAGTGAACCACTTGTTATTAATAAACCATAGGCTTTTAATGAATTTTATTGAGTTATAATTTACTTGTAATAAAAGTCATCCAGGTCATAGAGTTTGACAAATATAAACACCTGGCAAACAACAGCAAACTGAGATATAATTTGCATCACCCACTAAACTCCTGTGCTACTTTGTAGTTACTCCCTTACTTTTCAATCTTGATCTGCCTCCTGTAACTATAGCTGAGATTTCCTTTTTCTGAAATTTTGTATGTATGGCATCCCACAGTATTTGCTCTCTTTGCATCTACCTTCTTTCACTTGGCATAATGACTCTGAGAGTCATCCATGTTTTGCTTATGGTGGGACTAGTTCATTGTTTTTCAGTAATGAATAGTATCTATTGTTTCGATACAACACAATTTTCTCACCCATTTTACCTGCTCATGGACGTTTGGATTGTTTCCAGTTTTGGGTTATGAACATTTATGTCTTTATAAGGGCATATGTTTTAACTTTTCTTTAGTTGTCCAGAGCCATGAGGCCCGGCAGCTGCTTACCAAGCCCACGCATTTGCAAAAGCCTTAGGAAGAGCTTGTAAGTTTCTATTTACCCATTATAACTATGTAGCCCTTGAAAGCCCCTGAAGGTTTCCTTATATAGAAATCCTCTGGCCGGAAAGCCAGAGCCTCGGAAAGCACCGCCCCTTTATTGTTACTCTTTCTGCCTTACTTAAGCCTCTGCCTTCCTGCCAATAAACGAGACTTGATCAGACTCCTGTCTTGTCTCCATTTCTTGTGTCTCCTGCCTCTCCCAATTCCCACTCCCCCCTCCAGGGTCCGCGTTGACTACCCCGCGGGTCGGGACATTTAGTAAATATTTAGAAGTAGAACTGGTAAGTAAATGTTTAAATTTGTAAGAAACAATCTAACTTTTCCGAGGTGACTGTACTATTTTATAATCTCATCAGCAATATATGGGAGTTCCAGTTGTTCCACATCTTCACTAATACTTGGTTTTCTCAGTATTTTAAATTTTAACTGTTCCACTGGGTGCACAGCAGTGTGTCATTATACTTTTAATTTGACGGCTAATGATACTGAGCATCTTTTCTTTCCGTAAACTTACTGGTCATTCACGGGTAGGTCTTAGTTTGTAAAGTGTCTGTTCGATCTTCCCAATTTAGGTTTGGTTGCTTGCCTTCTGATTAGGTTACAAGTATTGTATATATTCTGTATTTAAGTCCACTGTCAAATATGTGTTTTATAACTATTTTCTCCCAGTCTGTGGCTTGCCTTTTCAAATGTTTTTTGAAGAGCAGAAGTTTTAAATTTTGATGTCGTTTATTAGTTTTTTCTATTTAAATTTAATTTTATTTAAATTTTGATGTAGTCTGATTTATTAGTTTTTCCATTGTTTGTGCTTTTTGAATATTATCTTTAAAAATACAAACCTTTCCTTATGGTAAAGTAACAAAGATTTTCTTACACATTTTCTCCCAGAAATTTTAGTTTTAGGTTTTAACATTTAGTTCTATGATCCATTTTGAGTTAATTTTTTACATCACATGAAGCAAAACTTGGGGTTCATTTTGCACATATAGATATCCAAATGATCCGGCACTATCTGTTGAAAATACACTATCTTTCCCCATGGAAATACCTTGGCACCTTTGCTGAAAGTCAAATGACTATGTGTGCACCTATTTCTGGATTCTCTATTTAGTTTCACTGTAAATATTTTAGGCTTCAAGGGCCACATATGATCTCTGCTGCACATTCTTCTTTAACCAGCTTTTTTAAAGTGCAAAAACTATTCTTTGTTCACCGGCTGTATAAAAACAGGTTGTAGGCCACAGTTTGCTGCCCCCTGCTCCATATGTTTACCTGTATGCCAAAACACAGTGTCTACAGTAAGTTTTGAAATCAGATAGTGTAATTCTTCCAACTTTGTTTTTTATTTTTTTCAAAATTGTTATAGCTACTTTAGGTTCTTTGCATTTCCATATACATTTTAGAATCAGCTTCTTAATTTCTTAAAAAATTGCTAGGATTTTGAGTAAGAATGCAATGAATCTACAAATCAATTTGGGGAGAATCACCCTCTTAACAATATTGTGTCTTCTGATCCATGAACATGGTACATGGCTCCATTTATTCAAGTCTTCTTCAATATCTCATAGCAATGTTTTCTAGTTTTCAGTGCACAGGTCTTTTGTTAAATTTATTTCCCTAAGTATTTCATGATAATTTATGCTATTAAAATGTTTTCTTAATTTTGATATCCTTTTATTATTGCTAGTAGATAAAAATACAATGGATTTCTGTAAACTGATTTTGAGTTCTTGTTAAATTTACACACGAGATACCAATTCACGTTCAGTAGAATGGCTGTAGTCAAAAAGACAATCACAAAGATTGGCAAAGACTTATAGAAACTGCAACCCGGATACATTGCTAGTGGGAACACAAATGGTTCAGCCACTTTAGAAAATAGTATGGCAGTATCTTATAAAGTTAAACATAAATTTGCCAATATTTGACCTAGCAATTCCAATCTTATATATCTACCCAAGAGAATTGAAGACATATGTCCACACCAAATCTTATAAGCAAATGTTTATGGCAGCATTACTCATAAAAGTCCAAAAGTGGAAACACTTCAAATGTCCATCACTCATGTTTGGAATACTAGCCAACAATAAAAAGGAACAAGCTATTGATACAGGCTAAATCATTGAACCTCAAAAATAGTATGTTAAGTGAAAGAAGCTTGACATAAAGACTACATATTGCATGGTTCCATTTATATGAAATGTTCAGAAAATCAAGTTTATAGAGACAGAAAGTAAGTAGATTAGCGGTTGTCAGGAGCTCAGAATACAAATAGGTCTAGGGATCTTTCTAGAGTGATAGAAGTGTTCTAACACTGGATTGTGGTGATGGTTATACAATTCTATACACTGATAATCACTGAATTATACACTTAAAACAAGGGCATTTTATGGTATGTAAATTAATACCTTGATAAAGCAGTCAAAGAAAACCTAATGCTGAGTGAATAGCGAGTTGGCAGTTATATTCAGTATTTTAGAATTTATGTAAATATAAAAATATAATATACACATATACACATATATGTAAGTATAATATATATAGTACAATATGAATACTTGGACTAGATACACACCACACCCCAATCAGACACACTGGTTGCATCTGGGGAGGAAGAGAGAATAGGTCTGAGGAGGAAGACATGTAGGACTTTATTTGCAGTATTTCAAACAAAAACAAACACATGGCAAAATGTTAACATTTGTCCATTTTTGGTGGTAGGTACCTGAGTTTTTCCCTAAATTATTTTTTGTACTCTTCCATATTTTTTCAATTAAAAACCAAAACCAGATTAAACCAAGGACCAAAAAGCAAATGTAAATGATTACCTAGTTCCTTCATTAATTTTAATTCCTTTATGGCTTTAATTCGAATATCAAACACCACCTAAAATAGAGAAATAAACTAATGACTGTGTATAAGTTGAAAACAATGAGAGGAGATGAAAATAAAGATTATCAGAGACATTAATTACTTGAAATTTCATAGTTTTTGTCTACTTATAAAAGAATTTCAGGGATGGAAAAAATTTTTTCAAGACCAAAAGCAAAAACTTAGAATAAATCCTCATACTTAAGTTTTATCAAATTGATGTTAGTTGGGACATAAAGGGCACCTACAGAAAACTAAAGAAGCAATTCTAGCTGGAAAGGCAATAAGCTGATAAACCACTAACCCTTCTGATGAGAGCAAATAAAATAAACTTCGGGCAAACACATTTTTCTATGTTAGGAATGATGAATTTGGGGCCAATAAGCATAAATAATATAAAAATGCATAATAGTCCAAGAGCATTATTTAAATTATTTTATTTTAAATTTTCTTTTTTTTTTTTAGTTTAAGCTAATTTCCTCTAGGGCATAAAATCTTGGAAATTTAGGGGGTTAACTGATGTCAGAGATAATTTATTCTATCAGTATCCCACACACTGTACCAAGAAAAAACAGATTCAATAAAGGACTTCACCAGAGTCTCCCACTTGGGGCCAGGGTACTAGGTCTCCTGAGCTTTAGTGCACTGATCTTATACTGCCTCCTTGACTGTATCAATAAATATTAACATACCTTAAAAAATTATAATATTTACATAAAACAACATTCTAGTAACTTTCTTTTAACTTGTTACAGAAAAAAAACTTAATAAATTGGAACTGCATAAATATAAAAAGATGTTTCCTGAGATGATATTTAAGGTAACCAGCTTTGAAAGAGAGCAGCTGGCTCTATACAGAGCACAGACTATAAGGTAGAGCAACTTAAAAACCCACAGCACAAAACCAAAACATATACTTGTATACCTGCTTTAAAAAATACAGAAAATAGCCTTGATAATGGCATTTTCAAGGAAACCAGACAATTTCATTTTCTGGGAGCCAGAGGATTCCATGAACTAACAAAACAGGTAATTCCCACATTCTAATTCTAGGCTTTGGAGGGGAAAAAAAAAGGCACATATTTTTCTGAAATATGCCAAAGACTAATATAGATAAATAAGCAATAATCAAATGCTAAAAATAAAAAGTTGATCTCTTAAGAGATTTAGAAGTCTATTGAAACTGTTCTGAAATATTAAGGTATTGCTTTCTAAATAAAATTCTGTTAACTGAAAAACTGTCAGCCAAACTTTAATTATAATCAACTCACTGTGTTACTAGTTGCTGATACTTTAACTTGCTTCTTTTCAGATTCTAATTGGCATAAATTTTTAACTTGGAGCCAGTCGACCTTATTTATACTAGTCCATTTCCCGTGTTTGGTGAACAAACTGTAGGTAAAAAGAAAAGATCAGAAAAGTAACAGTTTTCCTCAGGCACCACTTACAAAACTCTGCAGGTGACCCTTAATGCGACTAATTACAGGTGATCAAGTTCTACTGAGTTGTCTCCACGAAAGTTGGCTATCTTTTTAGGGCAATGTTAGGCAGTAGATGGATTCTATATTCATGACTCCAAATATTCCTTGATTTATAAGAATAATTTGTTGCCACATTTGTCACAGAGAACTGCTGTAATTGAACAATCAGTGGTTGACTTCTGCCTGCACACTGGAATCATGCAGGGAGCTTTAAAAGAGTACCTATGCCAGAAGCCCACCCCATAGGATTTGGATTTAGTTTAACAACAGGGTAGCTGTGTTTAGTTTGCAGATTAACACTGCACAAAAGTGCCACAACTAAGGAGTGCCATATGCATCATATACATTGTATATTTGTATTTCTTATAGAGTTTTGTTTTATGATAGCAGCTAGGAGTAGAGTATCTTGTTCTAACAAAATTTTCCTGCAGATAGTAGTAAAGGGTCTTGAGGAAAGGGTGCCTTTCTTCTAATTTGCACAGAAGCACTGAATGGGCTAGCAGAAGTCCTCTTTGGAAGTGGATACCAGAGCCCTAAAACACAATTCTACTCTTTATATCAGTTTATTACACTTGGAGACCACCTTAAGTTAGCAATCCTAAATATAACAAAGTTTGAAGCGCAAGATGTTAGTGAAAAACTGGATCATGATAATGACAATGATCATGTCAGTTAAAACATTTAGCAATTACTATGTGCCAACACACTGTAAGCACCTCTTTTGATCCTTTCAACTTGATGAAGTTGGTACTAATTATTATCTCCATTTTACAGAAGAAGAAACCGAGCAGAGAAAGATGGAATAACTTGCCCAGGGTCACAAAATATCTACAATGATTATCTACAAAATAATCATTATCATGTTTTAAAAGAAAAAACCTCAAAACAAAAAACCAGTTACTTGAGTTCAGAATAAAAGGAAAGCCACCCAGATGCCAACAGTGATTGACCCTGTGTGGTTGATAAAGGGAAGCTATTTCCCAAGTCTTAATAAATGTATATCACCTTTTATAGAGGAATATATAACAAACTTTCTTATAAACAAGGTAAGGAAATACATGTCTGGGAAACCTCTGTCCAAAAGGGTAACAACTGATAAACGTAATACAAAATAAGCACAGTGCACAAGTGCTCTGCTCCTTTGTGTCACAAACGCTGTCACCAGCAATACAGAGGTCCTGCAATCTAAGAGGATTCGCAGCACTGATATAGCAGGAAACTTCAAGTCTTCAATTTATGGAAACGTGAGGATTATAGTTTATGACACGCTGATTACAGAAATGTCCTGTCACAGACGTAGATGACAAAAGCAGAGCGATGTAGCCCTTCTGAGCTTCGAATGTGAATACAGGATTCAAGGGGGCCCCCGGTAACTGCCGTATTTGGGCAGCTGAGTCTCTCAAGAGTCACAGAAAGGATTATACGGAAAAACTAAATTGTCTTGTGGGTCTCCGGTAACAAAATACCCAGACACAATTTATCCATGATTTTAATACCCTCCCCTCAAGAAAAATTTCAGGAATTTTCTTCGTGAGAATGTGCCTTTGGTTATATAATTGGTGCTAATCAGAATTCACCTGATAGGATTTTGCTTTCTTGCCAACTAATTTAGACTATATCTAGTCTATAAAACCAAGGATACCTATATTATTTTGTCACCACGTTTACCAAAAAATGACTTTACAACATTTTTTTCTCTAAGTTGCATAACCTAAAACATTCCTATATATAATATTTAGAACACAATGTCTAGAAATAAAAGACATTTAAGTCACCATTAAAATAATGATTTAGAGTTCTACTGGAAGATACTATAATTAAAATGACTTAAAAAAATTTTCTCTTTTTCTCTCTTTCGTGAGTTACCTGTTATCTTCATTATTAGAATCCTGAATTAAAACCGAGCTTCCGTTTCTGAGACCTTGTTCTCTGAACGTTTTCTTCATGTCTTCCTTGGGAATGGCAGTCCAGCTCTCCTCACCCGCACACTCACCACTGTTTATGAAGACAACACCTGCTGGGATTGTTAAGGCTGTGAGGACAGTGCCCACTTCTGCATTAGACGGAAAGACGTGTGGAGATTCTATCACCTGCTGACACTTTTCTCCTTCACTGCTTGTGTCTAGATGAAGAACATTTAAAAGCAGAGGTTCGCAGTCAATACCAGTTTGAATCTGGACTCCACCAACCTGCAATCATATCAAGACAACCATTAGTATAGTTTATATTTGCCAAATTAAGTCAACGTAATAACATAGAAAAAGATTACTATTGTAGAACAATCCTCATTTTCTTTCAAGTAAATAAAATCCTCACAAATGTCTTTTAAGTATCAGAGGAACAACTTTAGATTTATCTTTCAAAACCTTCTCTTATCCACTTTTTAGTTTTTAGGACAGAAATCTGGACTGACGGCAGAAATTTTATGAGATATCAGTGGTAGTGATGAAGCCAGATGGACCATGGTCAGTCCAGAGTGGCTGAGATGCTCTTCGCTGCCCTCTTAAGATAGAAATTCATTCTTTACCTCCAAACCACCTCCATTCCCTAACTCAGTACAGCTACTCAGCTCACTCCCTTCTGAATTCCCACAGGCACTGCACACAGACCCCCAATCTAGCACATAGAGTGCAATTGTTCACACTAATTTTTCACACTAGGAATGCCTGAAGGACACAGACTGACTTGCCTTTGTACCTAGCATCTGACAC